GAGATTTCCTTAGTGGCTGGGTTTGATTTGTGCTATAAATTGTCAACCATATTGCTTTAAACAGAAAAGTGCTAGATAAGAGCTTAGTAAAAAGTATTAATTGACATCATGTCATTACTACTATCAAATTTAAATTGGCTCCTTAATTTGGCTGCTACGTTGTCCTGCTGTATGTATATGTAGCATCCTTCTGCATGTGTTTACAATAATTGTTATTAAATGGTGAGATGTGTGTCTGTTTAAAAGTACAGGAAGTTTCTTTTGTAAATTTCGTATTCCCTTGTTTCCTCACATTATTAAGCTTATTAGAGATGATGCCTTTGTACTGTGCAGTTTTTAGGGTTCCTATTTTGGTATTTCTTGACATTTGATCTGTTTACCTGTGTCCCTTCTGAAAATCGTGGATGTTACCTCCTTGCTGAATTTCGGCTCTACAGACAGAAGTGTCCTGTTTGCTTTTTGCCAGATCAAGGGACAAGCTCAAAATAATATTGCTGCAGTAACAATTTAATACTTTATTTTACATCACATGTGTAAGTGTGAGCTTTTTGAAAGAATAGGCAGTTTGGGCACTTTTTGGCACTCAGGAAAATATTACCCTTTGATGTGCCATATATGAAAAGCATGTATTTTTGCAATAAAAATATTTACTGAGTATGATGAAAATATTGAGCATGTCGTACAACCCATTATGATTAATAGCTTCATTAGTTTACATTTTGTTGAAAATTGTTGAAGTATATGTCAGAGCACTGTATATGGTACTGTTAAAGAAAATTTCTGGGCATTTAAGTACAGCCTTTAGAAAACGAGGCTTGTAAAGAGATGTTTTGAACAGATTTCTTGAATTCAACACTTAGCTTTTCAACAGTAAATAAATTCTGTTTAGAGAATGTGAGAGAATATCCAAACAAGGCAAGAAACATAGGGATCAGTGCAATCACTGTGAAACTTAGATTATTTTGGAGTGTTTTCTAAGTCAAATCCTCTTCCTTGTCATATAGAGGTGTAAATGGGAACATTATGGACAGTAACAGTAATATGCCTATCTTGCTGGTTGCCCTTTGGCTGTCACAAATAAGTAACTCTGGCATCCTTGTGAAATGCAAGTTGAGCACATAACTGCAAAACTGTCCCTACTAACAGTGCAGACATCCAGCCACTCCGTAGCTAATTAGTTAAAAAAATACAAAGAGGATTAATTGTATCAGAATTCTAACAACCATAAGAGATAAATTAAAAATAGTTAATCTCTTTGTGTTCTCCTAATAGGATAGAAAAAAAGCTTGAGGGTGATGGATCAAAATCATATAGTCTTCAGGGTCGACAGACTTCGGTAGAGGTGCAAGTAATATTGAAAACAATTTACATTTTTTTCCTATGAGCTATAACGGTTAACTTGCCTCTTCCAAGTGTTTTATGTACCTATTGCTTAGCAGATCAAGGTAAGTCCAGTGCCTGTCTCCAAAATAAGATTTTTGTACTGATATTTTGCAAAAAAACAGTCAGGACTGTTTCTTTGAGATCTATAATACTGTTCTCACCTGTCTCTTTATTTAATAAACTTTTAAGTAATGCTGCTGTGAATGAAACCGAATCAAGAAGCATTTCTGCTTAGCTGGAGAGTACATGTCCTAATTCTAAGGTAGAGTATTAGGATTCCTCCAGAGGGAAGCTGGTAGCAGGGTCAGCATAGTCTTTCACTGTTGCATTTCTGTCTTGTTCTGTGCTAACTCCTAGTAACCTGAGAATGTGTCTGCATGGGCTTTTGAAGAGGTTTTATAAAGGACTGGGAGCAAGGGAGTGAGAACTGGTGAGTTCTAAACTGCAAGCCTGGAGTTACAGTTTGTTTTGACTAGATTTTGCTGTGTTTCTAGGTGAATAAGATCCAGCCAAATGACAGAGCATCAAGATGCCAAAACACATTATGTGGAGAAAGTAGTGTCTCAGTATAAGGTGGGTGGGTGCAGAGACATAACTGCAGTGTAAAATCAGTCTGCAGCGGTTGGTGTGCCTCAGCTCAGTGGCAGTTTTGGCTCTCCCTGCCTTATTTTGTGGGGTAGAAGCCTTAGAGAAGGCCACACTCAGCGCAGTGTAGGGTCACAGGCGTGGTGTATGTAGTCCCTGAAGTCTGTTGGGATTAGATGTGGGGAAGGGGACAGGCCAGATTTATCCACCTGTCTTAACTGTGCTCCATGGTAGAGTTGCAAAGGTTCATTCTGTGAGAGTATTTGCAGTTTGAAAATCTTCAGCTCCTTTGCTGCACTCAGCTGTTGAGCAAATATTATTTTCAGACACTTAAAAAGTACTGAACTTGGGATGAGTCAAGGGATCTTTCATTTTGGTAGCTGAGAGAGCAGAAGTCTTTGCTTGAAGCTGCATTATTCCTCATGGATGCCTTCTGTAATGTAACCTTTACTACTTCTGACTCGAGAACAGATTTTCAAGAAACATGTGAATAGTTCTTTGCTCTATGGATCAAAGAATTCCTCAAGAATATCGATCTGCGGTTGAATCTTACAGCAGGAAGAAACGTCAGTTCTGTCTCCTGTGAATCAGAGGGTGCTGAAGTGAGTCTTCTGCTGGAAAGCAACAAATGGTTTCCGCCTGAAGGAAAGTTTCAACTACTATAATTACAACACTTTACAGTGCTAAAATGGGAATGTATTACGGAAAAACTTTATTCCATTTTCTCTGCAGTGATGTGGGCAATGTCTTAAAAAAAGAAGAAAAATATTACAGGAGTTGAGTGAAATACTAAGGACATGTTATATCGGAAATTCTGCCTAGAATTTTCGTAATTATTAAGATGGCACTTTTAATGATTTTAATCACCTTTTAATGATTCTTACACAGATTTTTGTTGAAAATAAATTTCAGTGATTATCTTCAAATAAATATGTATTCTAAAAAAAAAGGTTGCCTTTTTCTTGGTTTATGAGGTTATTTTCTGGTGAGTGTTTTTTTAAAGAATCTAAACAAAGCATAACCTAGCAATTGCCTTAAAGTCTTATGTTGAGAGTACATTTTTTAACAATAGGGATGAAAACACTTTAGATTCCCTGTTTCTCTTTCGAAGTTGACTTTATATTAGCTTCCCAAAGGTATGGGCAAGTGAACAGGATTTTGGTATATGAAACCTTTGAATCAGATTTCATACAACCATATAATGCTATAGTCCCTAATGCACAGACTTTCTTCTTTTTGTTCTAACATAAGCAATAATTTGCTTGTAGAAAGAGTGGTAGAAGCTAGAGACAGACATTGAGAAATTCCTGTCAGGTAAGTGAGATAAGTGGTGTTTTTTTTTTCTTTTTTCTCCACATTCTTGCTGGTGTAGTTTTGCCACTGTGTTATGTAGAGAAGCTTCTTCCAGTTACAGAACTCTGCATATAAGTGCATTTGTAGAAGTTGTTTGCAGTTGTGTGTGATTTAAAGGGCTTTCAAGACTTGTATACGTACACATGGAAATTGTTTGCCTTTGAGGGTTTTTTGCAAGTTTTAGGCACAAATTAACTGAATTACTAAGCTAGATATCTAAAGTATTTTTTGCTACAGTACAGACTTGACCACAATAATACCTGCCCTGTTGTCCTGCCTTCAGTTATGGCATATCCTTGTTTGAAAACTTTTGCTTTCTAAGCAGTTAAGAGTTTAGTAGTGTAACTTAAATTTAACATAATTTAGTGGGAATCATACACGTGTAGTCAGAACTGATGCTTCTCTATTTTTTGAACTGGGCGTGCGTAGAAAGACTATAGGCTATGGTACAATGGCTATAATGAAAGAATAAAGGAGGATGTAGAGCAGTGTTTTTTTTTTTTTTTGACCATGTTATTTTGTTATTGTCATCTTAAAATGGAAGCTGGATGTCCATCAGAAAACATCAGTCAGATTGAGATACTAATTTTGACCAAAAAAAAAAAAAAAAAGACTTGTGAGTTTTAACTACTACTATCAACAGAAATGTATCCAAAACAACATTTGACAAGGAGGGTCTAGTGTCAGTTAAGTCCAGAAGGGTAAAAGGGGCAGCCTATGGCGCTTGATTTTAAACTTTAAGAATATGATACCTTTCCCTAAATGAACGGTATTTTTGCTGTCATGGTAGGGAAGTATGAAATAATTTCTTCATAAGTTATATGCCTTGTGGTTAGCCCTAGCAGGTCCATTCTTATGAAATAGGAGGAAATATGCACTAAATTCTTTCGGGAATCTTGCACATCTTTAGAGAATAAATGTGTATATACAGACTTTCTCTTTCATGTATTCTTCCTCTGTTTGAAAGCAAGAAAAGCCTTTGCCCTTTTCAATATTTAGCTAATACTATTTTTTGCCTGTGCCTTTCCTGGGTGCACATGATAGCAAATTTCAGTGCACAATATGTTGAAATTTTAAAAGCGTATTTTAGTAGCAATCTGTAGTTATACTGTGGTTTATAAAGAAGGAGAATTACATGTTCATGAAGAAATAAAGTGTCATTTCGAGTTTTAGATTTTGAGAGAAGTTAAAAGGAAGTGTTGTTAAGTGTCTGTAACATCTTAAAAAATAAATTTAAATAACATAAGTGAAAGATGGTAGTATGTCCACATGCATTCTAGAGATTTTGTGTTCTTTATTATAGTTTACTAGTAGATTTTAATATAAAAAATAATGATCCAACTTTGTGACACAGTTGGGAAAATCAAAGTACGTATCAGATGAAATATTACCTTACATTCTCTTGTTCATAAACTATTTTATCATTTGGGCAAAAAATGTAACTGGGAAGAATATTCCTGGTCAATATCTGGTGACTATTTTCATTGTTGTTACTGTTTTTCCAGAGTAAAATTCTGTGTTGTAATTTCCTTGAAATCTGTGGAAAACAGATGTGACCAGTTTGGCCTTGTCTCAAAGTGGACTTTAACATTTTGGCACGCACTAATATTTTACTTCTGCAGATGTATTTATGGTACTGTATACCACTTATTAACATATATGTGAAATGTCATCTACAGGTGCTGACCTTAAAGAAAGAGCAAAAATGCACTCAAGTGAAGTTAGTTCTTTTGTCTCAAAAGCAAGAGCGGCTATTAATGAAATGGGTAAGTAACCTCTTCTTTGAATAATGCATTATTTAACAGTAACCTGGAAAGGTCAGATTAAAGGAATAATATAAACATGTGTGAATGATTCTTGACACATAAATGGATATCCTCCACAGTTTATACTGATAACACAAATATGAATCATTGTGCATTACCTATTTTTTAATATGTCCAGTAGAGTTTGACTTTTTTTTTTTCTTTTTAAGATGATTTATACTTCCTTTTTTTTTCTGAAGGAAAGATTGTTTAATAAGAAGTTTGGTTAATAGAAGTTAATAAGTGTAGCCTCGCACTAACATTAGCAAACCTCCACAACCTGTTTAGTTATTCTTGATTTGTATTGTTGAGATTGAAAACAAATATAAATTTCTGTACTCTAATTTTGGATATTACTTAACACTATACTTAACCCTAACTGAAAACCGTGGAATATAAGATTTTTTTTTTCTTAACTGACAGTGGATAAGGTAGTGATACTGAAAAAAATAGCTCTAAGAAATAAATTGCTTCTGAAGGTAAGATTTTATATGCATTTTCTTCATAACATTGGGTTAGTTTCATATCTTTGTTTGGCCTAATACAGGTTATGGCGGGTAAATGACAAGAATACTGAAGAGAGAGTCTTTAATTTGGGAGTTCATGGAGGAATTTGAGTTCTTGAATTAATATCTTGTCTTTGATGCGAACAATATCCTCAAGGCTCTTAAAAAAATCAATAAAATATCCAAAAATGAACAGGCCATTAATTTTCTTCAGAAGATAGTGAATTTCTTGCTGTTGTTAATTCTCTCATTGGAATGCAAAGCAAGAGGCAACAAGTTGTTGCATTCAGTGAGGAGTGCCTTTCTGGGGGAGGTGGAAGAAAGGAACTGGGGGAGAATTCTTTAGCTCTAAGTGATGATTTTTCAGCCTTCCTTGGACCTATGTTGCTGAGAATGCTTGCTGTGCTTTCTTAAAGTTTAAATAGCAGCTATAGTGACTATTAGTCACAATTAAGATTTTGTTTTGTTGGAGTTAAGAACACCTGTTCATTTTTATTTTAAGTAGCAAATTTTTAAAAACCTCAAAAAAGTAGTTAGATTCTCCATTCTCCACTGAATGGCCACAGGGTATAAGCAGGAGTTTCATGCTTTAATTTGCTTTAATACAACAAAAAGACTGCATGGCTTGGCTTGGGTATAGGACTTCTTATTTTGACATTTCATTTTTTTTTAAAAGGGGAGGGAAGCCAATGCTTTTTATTGTTAGCGTGGTGTCTGGGTATGGTTAGCATGGGACTCCTACTCCAGTATTTTTGCATGGCATCTAATGGCAATTGGTTGCTCAGGATTAGAGAAGAATATTGAGACATTTCTGCTAATGCTGTTTTTCAGTTTTTCTGGCATATATTTAATAGGTGTGTTTTAAAATCTGGAAGTTAGATTGATGTATGTGACATGATGCTTTGATTTTATGATGGATAGGAGTGAACATTGTTATTATTAGTAGTAGTAAGTCAGAAGTTCTCAGTTCTTCTTTTCTTCTTCTGAAGAAGTGGTCTGGCATTGCAAAATGTAGCTTCAGTAGAACTAGTGGGACGTCGTATTTGCATTGGATGACTAGCAGTGAATCAGTATATTGAAAATAAGCAGTTAAAAGTATTTTTCTTGCCCAGCAACAGTCAGAATCTTATGAGATGGTTGAAGAGGGAAAAGAATGCTCTAGTGATTATTTGCCACTGCGCAAATGCTTTACAGCTAGGGAACAATATTTTCCATTTCCCACTTTGTTCTTTTCCTATCCAGTTTAATGCTGTCATCTCATTTAAAATGTGTTCTACTTTTTGCTCTTCAGAAATAGGTCATGTTTTGATAATTCTGTTTGTGTTCAACTGTCTGAGATACTTCTTTCTAATGGTGTTTTCAAAAAGAAAAACACCGTTTTCTCTGTAGATGAAATGCTTGAAAGGTTACTTACATCTTGACTAACTGGATAAACTTGGCTTTTTAGAATTGACATGTCTTGGCTTTCTTCCTGTCAATTTCATGATGTTTAAAATCCTTACATTACTGGTTTTCTGAAAGGCTGTAGTATCATTTTGGAATACAGCTAGAAAAAAGATATTTTCTAGAAATTAAAAGCATACTGCACTTACTTGTTACATACAGCACGTTTGTTACGTTTTTATGGGATTAATTTATAACTTCTTGCTAAATTTGGTTGAAGTATTAAGACTGCAATAAATATCACAGTGTAAAAATAAACACTTGGAAAAAAGGCAGAAAAAATGTACCGAGCTATTAGTTGCAGTTTCTAAAAGCCTTAAGTTGAGGGGGGAAAAATCAAAACAGACTATTTTTAGCAGTGATTGCTTTTGCTTGCTTTTGCTAAAATTGTATCAGGGTTGTGTGGGTTGTCTTTTTTATTTTTTCTCTCCTTAAGAGTCAGAATATGTGACTTGTCCATTAGTATATTTTACGGTAAGGTTCTTCATTACTGATGTAAGGCTGCTTTTATACTCAAGAAAGCTCAGAGAGAAAAACATTAATAGATCTCTTGGAGAGAGATCAACAGAACAAATCAAGTCTTATGCACTCTCAGAAACCCCATTTTTTGACATTTTGGGGAGAAGTACCATCATTATGGGACACATCGACTGCATGTGTTATATGGTATGTCCCAATTAAATCCATGTTCGTCTCTTTTTTTTTCCTAGCTGTGCGCCTGGACTGTAATACTGCCATAATATGTACATTTTCAGCTGCAAAATGAATGGGGAGTCTACAGAAGGAACAGAATGCAATAAGCATGCTTTACCAGAAAAAATAACTTGTTTAACGTAAGGAAAAAGTGAAACTACAGAAAGAATTTGGCCTAGACAGATCTTAGTAATTGTCCAAGGTGAGGTTTGACCCCAACCTGTCATATGTGAGAAACAGTGTTGGTTGTCAAAGCTCTTTCAAAGAGCATAAAAGGCATTAAGTGGCTAATGCCAATGACCAACAGTAAGACTTGGAGATAAGTTTTCTTGATTACTTTTGAGAATCTCAACTGAAGCATGCTTAAGCTTGGATTTGTATCACAGAATCCCAGAATGGTTAAGGTTGAAAGGGACCTCTAGGGATCATCTAGTTGAACCCCCCTGCTCCAGCAGGAACACCTAGAGCACGTGGCACAGGGTGGCATCCAGGCGGGTTTGGAAGATCTCCAGAGAAGGAGACTCCACAGCCTCCATGGGCAGCCTGTGCCAGTGCTCTGTCACCCTCACAGGAAAGAAGTTCTTCCTCACATGGAGATGGAACTTCTGTGTTTCAACTTGTACCCATTATCCCTTGCCCTGTCACTGGCCACCCCCGGGAAGAGTTTGCCCCCATCCTCCCTACAATCACCCCTCAGGTGCTTGAACATGTTGATCAAATCTCCTCTCAGTTTTCTCTTCTCCAGACTAAACAGGCCTAGCTCGCTTAGTCTTTCTTCATACGAGAGAGGCTCGAGTCCCTTAATCATCTTCATGGTCCTACGCTGGACGCTCTCTAGAAGCTCCATGTCCCTCATGTACTGCGGAGCCCCGAACTGCCCCCAATACTCCAGGTGCGGCCTCACCAGAGCTGAGCAGAGGGTCAGGATCCCCTCCCTCAACCTGCTGGCAACGCTCCCCCTGATGCAGGCCAAGATCCCATTGGCCTTTTTGGCCACGAGGGCACACTGCTGACTCATGGTTAACTTCTTGTCAACCAGGACACCCAAATCCCTCTCCGCAGAGCTGCTCTCTACATCCCTAATCTGTCCTGGTGCCTGGGGTTATTCCTCCTCAGGTGCAGGACCCTGCACTTGTCCTTGTTGAACCTCATGAGGTTCCTCTCTGCCCAACTCTCCATCCTGTCCAGGTCCCTTGGAATGGCAGCACAGCCCTTGGGAGTGTCGAGCCACTCCACTCAGTTTGGTGTCATCTGCAGCCTTGCTCAGGGTGCGCTCTGTGTCCTCGTCCAAGTCACTGATGAACAAGTTGAAAAGCACCGGGCCCAGTACTGACCCCTGCGGGACACCACTGGCCACAGGCCTCCAACTAGACTCGGCCCCATTTATCACAACCCTCTGGGCTCTGCCATCCAGCCAGTCCTCAATCCACTTCACGGTCCACTCATCCAGTCCACACTTCCTAAGCTTTCCTAGAAGGATGTTATGGGATACTGTGTCGAAAGCCTTGCTGAAGTCAAGGTAGACAACATCCATGGCTCTCCCATTGTCCATCCAGCCGGTCACCTCATTGTAGAAGGCTATCAGGTTCGTCAAACATGACTTCCCCTTTGTGAATCCATGCTGACTACTCCTGATCACCTTCTTTTCCTTGACATACCTAGAGATAGTCTTAAGGATGAGCTGCTCCATCACCTTTCCAGGAACGGAGGTGACACTGCCCAGCCTGTAGTTTCCCGGCTCCTCCCTCTTGCCCTTTTTGATGGCTGGAGTGATGTTAGTTTCTTCCAGTCCTCTGGTACCTCCCCACACTCCATGATCTCTCAAAGATGATGGAGAGCGGTTGAGCAGTCTCTCTCATGTATCTCTCATTGGAAGGCTAAGCAGCTTTCTAGTGGCTGGAGGAAACCTAGAGCTGAGTGAAGGAAGAAGTTTCTTACTGAAATACTAATATTTACTTAGTGGATGTTAACTTTTTTTTCTTTTTTGTTGGATATATTCCACTTGAGCAAAGCTTGTGTTGATTCACTTTTATGACACCTGATTAGTTTACATGCATAAGTTGTGATAAGACTTAAAAAATATTATTACTTCATAACTTTGCTTAGACATAACTTTCATGGGTACGATCATTTTTAACATAACCAACTTGAATGTGACTCTCGAGTAAAAACAGCTTACATTGAGTTATTTCATTTTGTTTCATTAACAATGATGACTTTTTTATTGAGTGAGCATTTCTTCTAATTCAAAGTAGCTACAAATCTATATAGACAATACGCACGCACACATATATATACATACTCATATATAACATACAC